TCATCTTGAGGACCAAGCTCAACACGATACGGAGAAAGCTAGCAGCAAGCCTTAAAAGAAGGAACCCTCACTAATCACAATCTTGGACCAGAAACTATGGCCCAAGATTAATAAAGCTCTCATCGCAGAAAATATCCCTGTTCGTCGTGTCATTACAACTTTCGAAGGGTACACGTGTATACCCCGACACCGTTAACAGCTTTCGACGAATCGTCCACGACCTTAACGAAATAAAGGTCGAGTTAATACCCATCAGCTTTATAAGGACCATGCAATGATAGTCGTTATCCATAGAGTCAATATTGGCTGTATAGAAGTTGGAATTCTTGACATGATTTAGGAAAGATTACCCTCTGCCCACCGTGTCTATCGCATGACCGAAGGTGACTGAACCTGGTCATTGATCACGATGTACCTGGATGCGTCAGATGTCAAATCTCATGACATCTACAACATCAAGTCTCTCGGGGCCACTTCTATCAGAATGAAACAGAAGCATAAGTCAAACAATATTCCTTAGTGCAATCGCTGCCAAAAATTCAGTCACCCGACAGCCAACTGCTGTGCTGCCTTTGTTTGTGGTTTCTGTAGCTCAAACCACGCCACCGCAACCTGTCCAAAAGAGGACAAGGACCAAGTCACCCCTTACTGTGCAAACTGCAATAGCGAGCACTGGGCCCTCTACCAGAGTTGTCCTAAGCTCCATTAAAAATAAATTCACGCTTCGAAGGAATGTACTTTTCCTCCTCACTTATCGGGAAAGCCACCCCTTGGACAACAGCCCACGGCTCGAACACCATTCGTCTGGGGATGTCATACGCAAAGGTAGCATCCTCTCAACAACACCATACAGGAGCTAAACCCCTGACTCCTTTGCTCAACACACACCCCACCACCAAGAGAATTTCCCACTCAATAATGACCTTGCTGACTCGACTCAACCAAAGAGTGTCTGGTCTCGGGAGCAACAGAACAGCAGCTCACTAGACAGAGACTTCACGCTACTTTACTAGAACGCCAACAGCATCACACTCAAAACGACTGAACTTACACATATACTTCAGACAAGAGACATCAACATTGCATGCATTACAGAAACACACCTAGACAACATAAAAACACTCTACATACCAAATTACATGGTGCATAGACGTGACAGACGCGAAAAATCCCATGGCGAAGTGGATATCCTTGTACGCAAGGGCATCTCTTCTCGATTTGTAAGTATAGTCTCTGTAAATTACAAAGCAGTTAGAGTTGAAGTACACACCACCTTATCTGCCTCCATCAGAACATCTTTCTCCTCCTACGGATGATACAAACTTCCAATGCATAACCTCGCTGTTTGACTCCATCATCCCTACGATAGCTGCTGGCTATTTGAACGCCAAGCATAAATTGTGAGGATGCAAACATGAAAATCCTAAGGATCGTTCCCTTCTCAAACACTTGCGCAACTTCAACATCAACAAAGAGGTTCCGAGTGAACCAATACACTATCCCAGCTCACCAGACCAAGACCCAGACGATTAGACATATTCCAAACAAAAAACTTGACCATCCCTACGGAACCATGAACGTCCCCAGACCTCCCTTGCAACCATAACCCAGTCTACCTAGAGATCCCTAGATCCCTTTTCACCATACCCATTACCATCAGCTGCATAGACTGGGCCCACCTTGCGTATAACCTCGAATTCTCCTCATTTAAATGTCGTGCCATCAAGTCTCAAACGGAACTCGACATGGCAGTTGTCGAATTCACAAAAGAACTTGACAGGTTCACACAAGACGCCACCACAACAACTGCAGCTCCCCAACACTCACTTAAACTCCTCCACGACCTCCTGCATCCCATCAAGAAGAAGAACAAAGTCTAGAAACTCTGGCAAAAACGGAGAACCCCTCAACTAAAAGTTCACCTTAACTCTCTCACAAGGAAAGTCAAATCCCAAGTTCTCGAATTCCAGAATAAAGAATTTAACAAATTCATAGCTGAGGTAGAGTTCCACTAAACAAAAGCTTAAAAGGTCGTTAAAAACTTCGCATTAAACGCCCCCCCCCCCTTTAACAAGGAAACAAACTTTACTCACTTCATTCAGACAAAGCAGAGATCTTTGCAGATTCACTCCGAAATCAATGCTCCCTTAGCCTTAGAACCGAAGAACTAGCGCAGAGACACGCAAGATTTAATTACACGGTGCAGCAACAGGTCCTCAACAACCCGAATTTCGAGCACTGCACACCCTTTGAAATCAGAGGCATCGTCCACTTCTGAGAGTCACCAAAAACCTTTCCGATAGCCTCATCCACAAAAACTTTACCGCAATAGCTTTCCTAAATGTACAGTAGGCCTTCGAAAAAGTTTGGCACAAAGGCCTCCTTTACAATCTTATTTAGTTATATTTTTCGTACTACCTCATCAGCACCATTAAATCCTACTTATTGAACAGATTTATCCAAGTTGAGGTAGGCGACTCCCACTTCAACCCGGCGAGTCCCCCAAAACTCGAAACTGTCACCCACAATTTTTAACATTTTTTCACGACCTGCCCCAGCGCAAAAACATCAACAAGTACGTCTATGCAGACGACGTTGTATTTAGCTGCACGTTAAAACAATACTCTCGGTGCACCACCTGTTAAAACGAGCATATCGCCACTCTCCATGATTTGTATAACCTTTGGAAATTGTTCGTAAATGAGGCAAAGACTGTAGCCATGCTTGTCTCTTGGAAAAATCAAAGAAATAAATTTCAAAAGATAAAGGTCAATGGAGTAGAAATAGACTGGAGCTACTCCGCCAAGTACCTCGTTGTAACGCTAAACCGTCGACTCACGTACGTTTGGCACATCAACAGCACCCGCGGTAAAGCATACGGAGCCTTTGTGCAATTAAAGCCCTTCTTTAACAATAAAGCAGTCTACCAAAAGATCAAGCTGCGCACCTTCAACGCCATTACCAAGAGCATGAGCACCTACGTGATACCAACGTGGGAAGCTGCAAAAGGAAACCGACTACAGGGCATCCAAGGCCTCTTCATAAAGATACTAAGGTCAGTCCTGGGTATTCCGTGGTACATCAGAAATACACAGATTATCAAGAAGTTCAACATCGTTTTTCCAATACAAGCAACCCCCGTCACTGCTTCTAAAATCCGGGCCTCCATTACGGACCACCAAAACCCCACCATCGTCGCACTCGTGAACCTCCAATCTTGGTGCTTCAAACTTATACGACGTCCATGCGCTTTAGCACAAAAACCCGAGGACCCTCAATATACTCTAGGTCTTCATTCCCCCCTTCTTTCATCAGAAGGATCTCTTAGTCCTTTGAGAGCGAGCTGGCCTCCAGAATCCTCCGTTATTTTCCTTCTCCTTTCTTCTCCTATGCCCTTTTGTCTTCTAAGGGAGTTGTCCTCACAGACCTGTTCCATGCGAGGAGGTTAGCTTTTAGTCATTAGGCACACCGGGTGAATCCGGGTGAAAAAAAACTCCCTCTAACTTTCTTCCTTTTCTAGGATGTGAAGCCTTCAGGTTGGTCCACCATTCTCCTCGGGAAAACAAAATAAATAGAAAAATGAAATTAAGGAAATACAAAAGAACGAAAAA